GGCAAAAAGAAAAAGGTGTGTTCAAAACTTTTTACTCTTACTGATAAAAAATATTACTGAATTTTAAAAATGAAATTATTATTAAATAAATAAAGTTGTAAAAAGAGGACCAAGTTAAATAAAATATTTATAGAATTTTCTTTTAGTTAAGTCAAAAAAATATGTAATTTTATATAAATTTTATCTAATATAATAAGTTCATTTGAATAGGTATTAAAGATATTTCATTCCATTTATTTATAGTTTTTTTAAATGAAGAAATTTTTATAATTTCTGAATTCAATGCTTCCTATTCTTCTTTTTTTATTTATTGAATCTGTTTTTTTAAATATTTGTTCACATTCATTTTGATGATTAAATTGATAAAGCTGAAATTAAGTGTCTCAGTTTCTGAGTAATGCACGTTTTTTTCTTGTCACATTGCATTTTTCACTCTGCAGGGAGGAAGAGCAACAGTTAATCGTATATACCGTACATCCTGGTGTATAAGTCTGTGTCTAGTGATTACAAAAATCAGAGGGTCAACTTATTCACCGATTATGAAGTCTGTATTCGTTGACTAAGAAATATCGCTACATTATGAACAATGATTATAAACAAACAGATATGACAATTTATTTCAAAAGATACTTTTAATTATGTTATATACTATTAATTATGGTTTTTCTCTAATCATGTTTTTTTTTTTTTTTTTACTTAAAAAAGTTTTTTAAGAACAATACTCTAAACTATGTTCAAAAATAAATTAAGAGTAAGAAAAATTAGTTTATTCAAGAGTACAAAAAATATAACGCAGTGAAAACTTTTAAAACCTACCAATATGAAACTTCTATGATGGATTTAGTAACATTGGCAGCGTCATCATAAGAATCCCACTCTGCAATGGATTCTACTTCATCCCCATTTATTGAGTCCCACAAAAAATCGATCTAATCAACACCCAAAGAATTCGAAATTCCACACTTTCTAAAAGATTTTGCAATTAAATTTTAAAACCACATTCTGGCACACATCTATTATCATTTGACACATCACATCTGTAGGAATAATCATCTTAACACTAGTTGACTTGCACAACCATCATACCACAAAATTTGCTATCTAGTTAACAAAAACTAGTTTGCTTATGCGCCGGTATGTAGGGCAATAATAATAGATTCTTTAATACTCAAATGCTTTCTTGTAGAGCTGCTATTAAAAAAAGTCATTTTGTAATATGTTTGTTTTAATAATTATAAAAATGCTAGAAAGTCTACATCTTACATGCTATTTAAGAGCTGGAAATTCTGTTCATTGGTTTGAATCTTATAGTTAAAAACATTTTATCAAATACCACATAAAAACTTAACTTTCTAATATTTTTCTGAAATGAATGAAATTTTGGGTTATTGTATCCTGCAAGTCATAAGTTGTTTTATTACAATCAAGGTAATAAGTATTTTTAATTTATATTTTTTGTTGGTTCTGTAAGTTAAAAGTACCAAAAAATTCCCGAGATCTTGATATTCCTTTTACATGTAATCAACAAACTGATATAAAATCCTGAAAATAAATATCTGTATTACCCATGAAGTTGAAACAGCAATAATCCTGATCATTTCTCAAAAAATGCAGATATGTTGGAAACTTTAATATTTTTTTCATGCTACTAAATTAGAATAAAAATTTATGTAAGTACTATAAAAAAATTATGAAAAAGTGCGATAATGATCCTCTATTTTAAGAAAGGAAAAAGAATGAATACTGAAAAATTAAAAATTAAAATTCAGTATTTGCAGGTGGTTCCTAATGCTACCACATTTTTTCACTGACAGACACGCATAATTTTCACTGTCAATTTAAACTGTTAAAAAATGCTTATCTGCATGTTTATTCAATAGGAAAATGATACTTGTAATTAAGTTACAATTTTGTTTGATGTCTTTAACCTTACAACTTTATTCAACGAAATTATTCCTTTATCACCTTAATTAGTTTCTTTTCTACTGACAAATTAGGCACAAAAGCTAAGTACGTGTCTTTACTATAGTTCGTTCACTAGCAAGTCAAAAGAGTTTGCACTTGGGTCCACCTCTTTGGACACAGAGTTCATTTCAGCTCGGGAGTAAGAAGAGAAACATCTCTGCTCTTGAAATTTAGACAACCCTTGATGCGCGCCAAACACAAACGGTGACTTCTTTTTCAGTCACTTACTTCGCTTTATCATCTGCTATTATACCTTTTGTTTCTCTAGCTTATTAAATATATTTTAAATTTAAAAACTGTTGTTTTCCCAGCAAAATGTCTCAAACAAGATGAACTATTCACTCAAAAGAGAGAAATATCATAAACAATGGCACGATATATCATCAAATTTATGAAATATTTAATCTTAAAAAATGCAGAAGAAGTTGGCGAAATAAATATTTTTGCTATATAATCGCTAAATAGCAACCTTGTTCAGGATTGCTCACAACCTTCTCCCAAAAATAACGAAATAGTATCGTCGCATACCACGTGATGAAGGCGGAGGAAGTGCCAACTCCTGGTGAACGAGCTATACTTTCATCGTGAAAAATGCTTTATCAATTAATTCATATAGTTAAATTCATATAAAACAAGTACAATTGAACCTAATTGAATCAAATTTTATTTACTGAAAAATATCAGAAAAGAAGTGTATCATCAAAAGATAAGTATCCCTGTCCCAAGTAACAAAAGATGTCAATTTCTGGACTGCATTGGCCTTAAATGAACTTGTTAAAAATAAACTTTGGTTTGTTTCAAACAATACAAAAGAATGTCACCAAATACTATATTGATCTACTGTTTTGTTGGCTAAATATAAGATGTTAAAATTTGTGGAACTGCTTAATAGTTATCTACTTAAAAAAGTAAAATATCCAAACGTAATGGATTATGACCTTGCAATTATTCATTTTAAAACTTCAGTCATTTTTAAAAACAAGGTAATTAAAAAAAAGGTTAACTTACGTTTTCAAAATATACTTTCATTTTTAAATAATAATTTTTTAGGCACATTTTGCGAAATTCTGTTAATCTTCAAAACTATTTAATTTTAGAAACATTTCTCTATTCTGTTGGGGCATCTTTTATTATTTTCTTTTTACTTGTTTGGTATTTCCGAGCTTAATTTTGATTGTTTTACTTCAATAAAGATTTTTTGATTTTGAAAAAAATGAAATGTTAAGTCTATAAAAAAAGTTTTTAATGTTGTAAGAAGATTTTATGAACAAGCTTTGACAAATAATAAGTAGTTGTAAATGTCTAAACCAAACACAAACCAAAATATGTCTAAGTTTGCCGACAAAATTTTTTTTAACTATTATTTTTAAATGAAAGGAAATTGGCTTAGTCAATTTTGGTTTTACATAAGGACTTAATGTGGCATTTGTAAATGTAACCACATATTCTTGTTCCACTTCTTAATATATATATATATATTAATTAAACCATATAATTGCTGCACAACATTTTCCAGTTATCTTAATTATTTCTTAATTGCAATTACTGCAAAGAAAATTCCAACCACCACGTATATACAGCTTTAATATTGTAAATTGATTTATTGCAATTTCTAAATTTTATTCTGTGTAATTATAGTATCTTATATTGTTCATTGACATGTATTTCAACAACAATGTCTTAATGCTTAGCCTTTTTTTTTATATTACAAGCACTTTTATTATATTGCAAGTCAGACTTGTAGCCTATTTAACTTATGCATTATTAGGTTAACAACTGTCTAAGATGTTAACATTTTTATGATGAACGCAATTTAATCGTGCAATGCATATTTAGGTCATCAAGGTTTAATTTTTTTTTTTAATGTGGGAATTATTTAGAAATCGGTGAATAATAACTGAACATTAATTTTTAATGTTAACATGTAAGAAGATCTCAAATTTACAATTATTTAAATTCAATGTCTGAAAATCTTTGTTTTTCTATTCTTTTGTAAAAACTAGTACCGNGCTACTAAAAAATATTTCGTCGGAAGCGCCGCTGCATCGGAAGCGCCGCATGTAGGAAAAAAACAACTTTTTTTTCGAAAGCGCCGCGGCGCTTCCGCCGAAAAATACGGTAATACATTTTTTTAACTATTGGTGGAATGAATTTTAAACAGATTTTTTTTTTTCAATTTGTGATTTGTGAGTTATTGAAAAATCAGATAATAATTAAAATGCGGAAAAATTCTTAAAAGTGGCACCTTAAAATATAAAAATATTTAGTTTTGTGAATCCAGTGATTTAAAAATGTGCAAGCTTTATGTTGTGCAGTTTTCTTTTTTATGCGAGGAAAAAATAAAATTTATTTAATTATAATTTATGTAATGTAAATATATACATATATATTAATCTGTCAAAGTTTGTGAGTGGGGAACTATTATGAAAGCAATATTTTTTTTTTTNTTTTTTTTTTTTTTTTTTTTTTTTTTTTTTTTTTTTTTTTTTTTTTTTTGTGGAATTAAAGTAAGAGTTAGTTACATGGAGTGATGGGCATTTTATTATTTAGTCCCTTATTTTCATGATAGTCTTTATAATTGTTATTTGAATTAATCTGATAATTTAAAAATGCGATTGACTCACGTCAAAAGTTTTCCAATTAACTTTTGTTTAGGATCAGAATGAGACTTGTTACTAATTGCTTTTAAAAAATTGTTCAACATCCATAGTGTTGTGGCAACTGTAGGTTGCTTCGTTCCCTATCAATCTCAAATTAGCGCTACATTGTATTAGCACTTAGTAATAATTCCTATTTGTATACTTGCTTAATTTAAATTAAAGATTTTAGTTCCATTTGTTCATGAAAAACTTTAATTTTTTGAAATAATAAACTTGTATTTATTGTTTGTAGTTTAGTTTCAAACTGGGATACACTTTAAATTTGATTTATTAAATATGTAGTCACGAATAAGTCAGCCATTTTATTAGTTATTCTAGGTAGCCTTTTTTTTTCTATTATTGTTAAGTCTAATAAATATGCTACTTTGCATGCAGCTGAGGAGAGGGGATCTCAGGATTCCATTAATCGAGAAACAGGTATTTAATTATCCATATTTTTTAAAGAGTAAATGTATTAGTGTTTTTATTTAATACATTTTGAAACTTTGCCCTTAATTTTTTTTTAAAATTTAGTAACTATATTTTTTTTATGAAAATAGTTTTAATAAACTTTTTTAGCCCTTATCAATTTAATGGATTTGTGTGTTATTTTAAATATTCTTTAAAATTTGAATTGAAGATGATCTTTGTTATAGAAAGTCAATGGGAGTGGAATCTTTATGTTAAAACATTTCTTAAACTTAGCTAGTTAACTTAATACATAGAATTGAAAATTGAATTTTTATTCCAAAAAATTAAGATCTATGCTTATTACAAATATACCCATTTTATGTCTCCCAATTACATACTAGTTACACCAGCGTATGACAAACATGATACGATGTATGTATAAATTTATTTTGATGGTTGTGTAATTTAATACGATATTGTCATTCAAGTTAAATTAAAAAGATGTATTTTTTAAAATTAAAATTGTTGACTTCATCTTAGTTTTAAATGTAAAATTATGTTATAACTTAGCATGGGGGAAACATGTTGCATGGTAATTATATTTACAATTCAAATAAAAAGTTGCAAGTTTTTTCACCATTCAAATATTGTGCTATAACATAGAATAGGGGTTAACAACTTTTTTTTAGTGAAAGGCCCTTACAGGCCATGTCAACTAATGAAGGGATGCATTATTTTATATTTTAGAAATGCTTACAACGGTTGCGATAAAAAAAAAAATTAGATATTGAAAAATTTATGCTAAGTTTTGAAGCTAGTTTTTCTTGGAAATATTGTTTTTGACTTACCAGAAACATGACATTTTGAAATTCATTTAAATTTTATAAATATACAAAACAGTCGATGCTAGTACAAGGTCATTTTAAAATGCTAACGGCAATGATATTTATTAAATTTTTTTAAAAAAAGTTCCTTTAGTAGTATAGTATAAGATCTTGGAGAAAGAGACTGTAAATTGACATATGTCGTGAGAATCACCCAATTATGATAATTTTTTATATAAATATTGGTAGTCTACGCACACATCATTTTTATCTGCCAACTTAGCAATAAATTTGCATATAACTTACACTTTTTAAGTATTAGAATTCATTTAAAATTGAAGAATGCAAAACTTTTTTTAATAAAAAAAGAACATAATTATCAGAATAAATATGGAAAGAAGTAATATTTTTTTTAATCACAATACGTAATAAAAAGAACTTTTCCACACTTTAAGTATTTTATTTGAGTTATGTAAATAAAAGTTAAATACTTTAATTAAAGGAAGTTTGGAATTTTAAAGTGAATTAAATTTAATCAAAACCATTATAACACAAACATTTAGTAAAAAATTTATATTAAGTGAACTTAAAGGAAAATGTTTTTAAAAATATCAAACCTTATTATTGTTTATTCATACTACAAAAAATTAGAAGCAATTTCGAATTCAAAATGCAAGTGTTACTCTACTTTTCAAATTTCCCAAATTGCAATATTTTTGTATTAAAATAACGTGGAAATGCATGATGCTAACTGCTGATAAAAAATCCTCTTAAATTTATGATAAAATCATCACCAATGATGCGTCTCAAAAAGTAATTATTTAAATGCGCATATTGTAACTTATGTATCGTGGTTACATATTATTTAAAACATCAGGATTTTTGAAACCACATGGAAAAACATATTGTAAAAATTACCAAAAAAGTGATTAAAAGTGGAACAAATAAAGAGTGTCAAGGAGTGAAAGTTCTACTTCGCAATTGGAAATTCGAGTATTGTGATAGTACCATAAAAAAATATTAAGACTTGTAAAACCATGTGGAAATGCTTAGTGATAATTGCTGAAATGACAAGAAAAGTAATTTACATTTGCAATTTAATTACCATATATCTTTGTGTGGGATTCGTCTTTCATACCCCCAAAATATTATGAAGATCAGGGGGTCAACTTATACACTGGTTATAAAGTTGGACATTCGTTGATTGTGATTTATAGGTGCTTTATAAACAATTTCCGATCTTTTCTTCAATCATTTTAGTTCAAAATGGCGGGAAAACCCAGAAAATTTTCCTGCTTTTCTGGATACCTGATAAATGGTTCTATACTGTACTGTACTCATCCAATTTCCTATTCAAGAAAAATTTATGTATTTCTTGGCAGTTTCTGTAACATTTTCATTGATGATGATTGCAATTTAACTTCAAAAAAATATCTTAAAGTTGATTATTTTAAAAGCTCAGATTTACTCTTTTGGCCTTTAGTGTTTCTTTTTTTGGTCCAAATAAATATTTTTTTAACTATTAAAATAGTAGTAAAAATAAGGTTTTAACTATTTTTGTTTCATACTTCTTTTCTAATCAGATAAAATTTTTATTATTTTTGAATTTAAAAAAAAAAATTCCTGAGTGTCGAATAAGTGTACAATAAAACCTGTGATTGTGATGCATTTTTTGTGTGGTCAACTTATAAAGAGAAATAATTGTTTTTTTTTAAAATCATTTTTTATATTTTTGCATAGTTATAACCAATTAAATTTTGGATAAATACAATTATTTTTCTAAAGACTCTAAAATTTTATATAACATTACAATTGAAATCATTACTGAATGAATGAGTTGCACAAAAAAGACATAGGTATTCATATTCGAATTTTTACGATTTTATTTATAAAGAATTTCTTAAAATATCAATACACTTGAACCTCTTCAATAAAGGAACTTAAAATTGTAATTTCAACATTTTAAATGTTTTTTTTTTATATGCTTACAAAATTTGATACTTGCCCTTTATGATACAAAAGCCCTTACTATTTTTCCTACAGGATCAACTCACTAAGAGATTTAATGCTATTTCACCAATTCATGCAAAATCTAATACATACTCTTAATTGTATAAAAATATTCCTAATTTTTTTTCTGATCAACTCTTAAAGGTTTTAGTATAGCTTTCAATAACACTATTAGACAAATTGTACACATTTCACCTTTCAAGATAGGCAAGTAAAGTTACAAAGTTTTTTTGCCTCGTGTAATAAGAAATATATTTGGTTCTTGATTACATAGGTCAACTTAGATATTACTGCTATGTGATTTAGTAGTATTAGCTGTAAACTGCAGCAAAAAATTTTTTTATTCATTGAAAAAAATAAATTATTATATATTTTTGTGTAATTGTAATTCATTTAGAATCATTTTTTAATAATTAATTTTTAGCTTTTGTGCTGAATAAAATTTAAAAGAAGACAATGTTCCATAGCAATAATTTGTAAATTTGAGTAGTAAAAATAAAGCCTTTCCAAAGGAAACATAATTCAAATGCTATAAAAAGTAAGTATTTACGCCTGCGAAGTCAAAGCATTAAGAATGACTTATTCCAGTAATAAAAAGCATAAAAATTTATTTAAAAATGAAACAATTTGACTACCTAGTATGCAAGAAACTAATTTAATGCTTTTATTTTGTGTTGATTTATAACTTTTGTGTATTTAGTTTTAATATCAGTATTTAGAAAGCATAGTGGACAGTGGGTGACAGCTTATTCTTGGTCAGAATTGCTTATGTAGTCTATGAGTGTTCTACACTAATGGTGCTACAGAGTAATAAATACTTATTGAATATAGTTTTCATTAAGGGTTTCAATAAATGTTTGAATTCCGACGAAAACACCCAAACTGAAAAACATTTTATTAAGAATAATGAATGCATGAATACAACAACAAAAATGTAAAGAAATGAGAGCTTAAGTAAAAGTCTTGTTTTTTGTTGCTCAAAAAGAATGATTTATAAAGATTAGAAGAATTAAAGGGCATGTTTAGTGTTATATATTTGGAATTGTTAATGACAAATTCTTCCAAATTCCTTTTTATACCTATGCAAGGAGTGCTTTACGAGTACAGTATTAAGTAATTTGGAAGCTAAATAATTAAAATTCTTGCTTAAAATAGACTGTTTCGATAATATGCATATTTTATTAGATTTGATTTTTGTACTCAATAAGGTTTAATTATAAATTGACAAATTTTATGGAAAAGGAAATGAATCAATTATATATTTAAAATTTTGCATTGTTAAGTGTTTCACACGTACCTCTTTTTTGTACAGTCATGCAAATAAAGATTTTGAAATAGTAGTTTATACAAGTTTAAAGGAACCAATCATGAAGCTCTTATGTATTTTCTGTGGATTGTAAAATATTCATACTTTTACTATTCTCCTTCGTTCTAAAAAATTTGCAGAAAACTTATTTTCTTCTTGACGCTATTTTGAAATATGTTCTTTCCCTCCTTGAATTAATTGAAGACTTCGTAATTTTGCATGTTTTACTGTGTCTATGCAATCGTAACAGGTTTTTTTTTTTTTGGCATTTTGGATTTTTTATAATTTGGTCTTGCTTTTTTAATACTTTTGCAGATAGTTTGAGAATATAATTTTGTCTTATAGTTATTTATTATTTTTTTTAAATTTGTTTCTGATTGATCTGTACCTGTAGTATCAAATGAAAAAATTGATCTTTAAGTCTATTTCTTTCACATTTGAATCCTGTTTATACAACATTTTCATGTACTGTAAAATCTTGTTTTAGATATTTCAGATTTTGCTTTTGTCAAAATAATATTTCTTTTTAAAATCCTTACAAATTTAATAGTAATTAATTTAATAATTTACTAGTTATTTTAAAAAATCCATTAAAAAAATTGAATTTTTATTTAAATAAACTAGCCTTGTTTTGCCTACTCTGACTTACAATATTGAGAGCACCCTACAGTGCCTATACACATACTTATCATGAAGTTTAAAGCTTTCAGAAGTTTGAAGGATCAGCAATAAATTATAAATGAAAAATAATTTTTTGAAAAACCTATGTCAGGAAATATAGAAATCAGTTTTTAACTTGTACCAGAAATTATAAATATAATATGTGAAGTAGTCAAGTCTATAGTTCTGTGTGAAGTTTTGACAGTATATCAAAATGAAAGAAACTTGATAGTTTTAAAACTAGTGTTAGAATCTGCTGTAACATTAGTGGCAAGTCCATTGACCCAGTTATGTTTGAATTATCATATCCATGGCATGGGGCAATAAGAATTGTTCTTAAAAAGAAAAAAGTAACCTGAATATTTAAGCTAGATTTACAAAATTTTGTGCAGTTATTGCGCATAATAGCAAAAGTAATTCACACAAGTTTCAAACTGATTCCTATATTTCCTGGCATATGGTGTTCAAAAGCAGTCTTCGTAAGTTATTGCTGGTCCTGTAAACTTCTGAGAGATTTAAACTTTATTGATAAGTATAAGTTCTTGAATCTATTGGTATTTTGCCTGATTCGCGTATTACTGATAACGAGGAAGAAACAATTGTTCAAGAGTTTGAGAAAATATATATTATAACATGAGATATATAAGTAACCAGGCAGCTTAAACACCTCCAAAGTTATCAAATAATTCTCTTAGTATTTTCCCTTTTATAAACTATCAAAAACTGCGAGTGTCCTTTCCATTATTGTAAGGCAGAGTATGTACAATTGCAACACTCCTTCTCATTATAAAATTAGTAACTAACATTTGCATTTAATTACTTTAATTGTAGAAGATTAGCTACAAGTTTTCTTTTAAACTAGTCATATGGGTTAGAATTTTTTAATTTATGGGTTTATCAGTTCTTTCAAAATCAAGAAAATCATGAAGCAAATGTTTCACCTATTTTAATTATGAAACATCCTATTGTTCCACCTATTTTAATTATCCTAAAACTTAGGGCAACTCTGACACTTGTATAAATTAATATCGGATATATTTTTTATTATTTTAATGCAGTTTTTTATTATTACTCATCCTATTATTGTTCACAAAATGAAAAGTAGGTAATACAAAGTAAAATATTTAGTTTATATTTTAATGAAAAAAATTTTCAGTTTAAACTACTTTGTTGCAAAACAATCAATGAACAACTAGTGATCTTCATTTTCTGATATAGCAAGTTAACTGTTAACCGAGGTTTTACCCAAAACTTAAATACTTGGTGTAACTTTGCACCAAACCTAAAGAAATACTGTCTTTAGAGCATTCTTGTCCCTCTCACCCAAAAAAACAGAGCTTGTTACTTAATAGGACTTTTTTAACATCTTTTCTGACTTTGAATTTCAAAAAAAGTTGGCAAACATTTACAGTGAAAACAAAACAGTTAAGAGACTGCCCATCACGAGTTGTCCACTGTAATCACTGATGCACCCTTAGTAAACTTTAAGCTATTAGACTTGGCCAAAAGGCTTTTTGGTATACTTTTTCATTCAGTTAACTTTTTATAAATTTTTTTGGCTGGGAGTTATTAAAATTTTTTTCCACTGTTGTTGATGTCCCATTATGTTATTCATAACTTTCATACCACTTGTCATATATTCTTGTTGATCTTGCTGCATTCTGATAATCTTTCAATTTTATGGTTTTTTCTGATTAAAAAGCTCAGTGATTATTAGTTTATAGATAATCTCCTAAATTTTTATTTTATTTTTTTGATTCCATGAAAATGCTGAATTTATTTCAAAGAAAAAATTATGATTAGCATTTTCTCCCTCAGAACTAAGTTGTTATAGTTCACTAATTTTTTTAAAGATGGCAATGAGAATTAAGAACTCCCTACACATTTTTACCACTTATTATACTCACATTTTTTCACCCAAAATTGTAAAAAAAAAAAATTTTCTTCTTACCATTGGATGTGAAGGAAAGAACAAAGTCGTAATAATCTATTGTTACCTATTATTAAATCTTTCTTCATATCTTACTGATTATCAAATTAGTTTTAAATGTTTCTTATCATATCTATAACAGGGAGCTACTTTATCTTTATTTGAAAACCTTACAAAAAAGAAAAGAAAAAAAAACTTCATATTTCCCACTGAACTAAAAAAAGATAAATTTTCTTTTAAAATTAAAAGTTATAATTTGTTATTTTGTTGAGTTTTTTATTAATGAAAATTAAAATACATAGTCTAAATGTGTAGATAATTAAGATATTTTTGAAATCATGCTGGAGCAAAATTTAATGGATAGGATTTGCTTTAAACTGTGCATGTCGGGACATTTTAATACGATAAAGAAGTACTGTTAATTTCATTTTTCTTCAAAACTAGTTTTGCATTTTTAGTATAAATTTTTGTAAGTGTCATTTCAAAGTTAATGGATAAACATTTTTCAAATAATTTTTCTTTTTGTTTTCTGTTATTAAATATCTGAAAATAGAAATGTTTCAAATGATAAATTTTTTAAGAATGTTCAAGTGCAATTGCTTTCTTATGCAGTATAATATTGAAATATAACATTTTCTGTCTATTCATGATTTATTGTATTGAAGAATCTAGTAGTAAATGCAGTGGTAGCTGATCTAAAAAAAAAAAAAAAATCCTTTTTTTCCCCCCAGCTTATTAGAGCACAGTCTGCAATTTTTAATAACATGTGAAAAAATGGAAGTCATTAAAAAAAGAAAATATTTATTTAATTTTACTAAATTAAAATATTATTTACACTTGTTTTCTAACAATACTGGTGATACAAGAAGAGTCATCTATTAATAAAAGTTTTCAATGGATACAGAAGTCCTGAAAAGACAAAATAAGTAAAGGATAGTTTGAGTTGAAAAATAAGTTTCTATTGTTTAGTCAGGAAAATTATTAATATATATATACAAATATATATTTCCCTTTTATATATGTATATGTTTCCCTTTTAAAGAAGCAATTCATTTTTATGTGATTTATTTATTTGGTCATATTTCTATCTGCTCTAGTTTGATAAAATTCCGTACTATTAAGAAAATAGAAGAATTTTAATAGTGTTTTTGTTTTTGCACACACTTATGCTCTGAGGTGACAAAAGTAATTTGATAGCAATATACAAATGGCAGTAGTATCGTGTAAAAAATTTATATCTGGGTAGTGCATTGGAAGGACTTTTATTTGTGTTCAAATTATTCATCTCATGTTTTTGATGTAATTATGACCGTAAGACAAGAATTAACAAACTTTGAACGTAAAAAGTGGTTAGAGCTAAATGTATGGAACATTCCTATTAAGAAACTGTGAAGGAATTCAACATTCCTAAATCTACAGTACGAAGCGTGTGTCGAGAATTCCTAACTTCAGGCATAATCTCCTACCATGGACAAGGTAGTGGTCGGTAGTGTAGCTTGGTCAGATAAATCGAAATTTCAGCTGGTCAGAGCTGAGAGGAGAGTTTGAGTAGGGCGCAGACCCCACAAAGCCATAGACCCAAATATTCTTGCAAGAGACTTCCAACCGTGTGTTGATTCCATACCACGTCAAGTTGCTACGCTTTGTAGAGCTAGAGGAAATCTGACAGGATATAAAGAGGTATCCCATGACTTTAATCAGTCACCTCAGAGTGTATAGATATACATTGTTCTCCCTAAATGTATTTAGAATTGGTGACCAGCCCTGTCTGCCTTTTAATCCCTATAAATGCGACCGCTTTTCCCTTTTCGTAAAAATGAGCCACCATCCCTTAAAAATACAGTAGGAACCGATTATTCGGAACGATCGGGACCATCGCTATTCCGGATAACTGATTTTTCCGGTTTTCTGAATTGTTAAAAAAAGCCGTTTTTTTTATTGTTAAACCCAACTAAAAAAAATAAAAAAATTGGAAATAATCCTAAAAAGAAGAAAAAACGAAGTAATACACTAATGAATATTTCCAAAATGATGGTAAGGTAAACATCTTTCAAAAAAGAAAGAAAAATTAAGTGATTTTAAAATTAATTTTAAATAAATACCCTTTTAAAAAAATGCACCTTTAGATGTACATTTTCTTATAATTTTCAGTTTAAATTATACAAAAAGCTTTCAAATTGTTTATCAATTAATCTTTTTTTTTTTTTTTAGTTTTTTGAAAAAAAGTTTTGCCCAGAGATTGTCACTAAATCTAGATTTAAAATTTTTTTTTTCCAAAAGTTCAAATGTTTATTTAGGGAAATAAGTTATTGAAAATCAAAGAAACTACTAATTATAATACCTTGTTTCTGTTGTACTTGGAAAGAAAATTTTTTTTGTTTTTAATCATTTCTAGGGTGGGTAGACAATCGGCTGTTTGGTCATGACATGAGGAATCGAGAAGATTGGCCTGATAATGAAATGTATCATACTTATCATGCTGATCGCCAAAAAGTACCTCCACCAACTAAACCAAAACCTGGCAAGCCAAAAGTAAGTAGTTCATGTATTTTGTATTTGCTATGTAAGTTCTTGTAATTAGTTGGGATATGTTGAGAGTTCATGCTTTTTAGTTGTTTAAACCAACATTTTTATTGAATGGAATAAGAATCATATATACAGAATAGTTTTATAATTTACCAAAACTTATTTTAATCACCTACTCATAAACGATCTTTAAAAAAACTGAAATTTAGACAAAAAAATAATATTTTTGTATATATTTTTAAATTTGTATAATAAAAAAGCAAACTTTTTTTTCTCTTGGCGTTCGTTGTTTTCGTGTCTATGGATCTTTAAATCACATCAAAGGTCTGGACTATTGCGGCTGCCAGCTTCGGCGTCTCTTGACTGTAGAGAATGGCTCTCAGATTGTTCTCAATTGGCACCCATCCTAATTTCAAAATGTGTGGTGTGTGCAGGGCACTCAAAAATGTGCTTTGGTGCCAACATGACATCCGGGCAGTTTCTGCAGGGAACGTACGCCCTGGTCTTGTCCAAGAGAATTTTCGTCCCTCTGAAATGATTAGTTCTAAGTCTTGCTATTACTGATGTCAAGGTTCTAGGGCAGTTGAAGTCAGTGATAAGTGGCATCTTAAAGATGTGAGGTAGGAGTCTGTTTTTGGCCGCTGCATTTGCATCTGCAAGTGTGATGGTGTTACCTGGATGATCGTCTTCACGGGCTTCTTTGGCCAATTGATCAGCACACTCATTGCTCTCGATATTGACGTGTGCAGAGATCCACTGACTTTTTTTTTCTGTTAGTGTCTAATTATTGATGTTTTCTTACACTTACCTTCTTCAGTTGCTTATAAACTACCATAATCTATGGAAACCTTATGCATATTGCTTAAGAAACTGAAATAATAATTTTTAAATTCTGAAATTTCTCAATAAAAAAAATGTAATAATTAAAATTTGCTCATTCATTTCGAAACTGGGGTGTTCTTATAATTTTAGTTTGTTAATTTTTAACTTTTAAATATCAGCTAAATTAAAAAGTGGGGTTTGATAATAAATGGACACAGCATACAACCAAGATAACAAAATATTTAGAAGTCCTTACATCTAAACAAATAGTGATTTGCTAATTGTCATTTAAATAATTTGAAAAATTCTTTTACAAATTATTAAAACATCCACTTTTCTATTAAATTTCTAAACTGAAAAAACTAACATCCTTTGAGTTTCCTATGCAATTTCTTTACTCAAATTGATTGAAAATATAATTTTTCTTCTTCAATGTAGAATTCTTTGCTTAATATATTTTAGAGTTTTCCTAGTTTTTTTTTTCCCTGATCCTTTATATTAAATTATGTTTAATTTTTGTATTCGCTTATAAAGAATGTACGCTGTATATATATATGAAGAAATATTTTAGAATTTTTTTTTAATCTCTATTTAAGCCTTGATGATTAACTTTCAAAACTCCTATTTTATATCTTAGAGAAATAAGAAATATTGATTGCTATTCTTGAGATTGTTATTTTGAAAGGGTAATTTTATTGTATGTAAATTGGATTTTATTATAAAATTGTCCTTGTATGAGAAAATGCATATTAAATTTTATAAGTTTTAATTACACAAACTTAACTTTAAATTTTTAAAGACAGTTTAGGATTAGAAATAGTGGAATTATTTTTTTTTGTATAAAATTTATAAGTAAAATGGAATGATATGGAATCACCCATTCTGTTTTCAGTGATGTGTTTTTCTACTGAATTACTTATAATTAAAGAAGTTTAAATTAAATATTTCTTTCCCAATGTATTCCTAATGTACCCATTCGAATTTACCTTGCCATTTTACAGACGTTGCAAAATAAATAGGAAAATATACAACTTAATCAGCCCTGCTTTTTGTGCTTCTTGAATCCTCTGCAGTGCTTTTGGCCCTAAGTCAAAAACTGCCTGCAAATTTTTCTGAACTGCCTTGCTTTACTGAAAAATGTGTTTGGAAAAAGATATGTACTGGAAAATCAAGTTCAAAGAGAATACTAGTTGGAATTTTTTAGAATCATTAGTTTATTTTCATTTGAAAATAAGTGATTATGTACAGGTGTTGAAAGAGGCTATGAGGCTTGAAACCTTCTAAATTTGAATCACTCAAATCATATACCGTAATTTATGGAAGAAACGCCGCACTCGCGATAATGAGACTTAAAAGAAAAAAAACATGGTGAATGCCACACCCATGATAACGATTTAGCGGCAAAAATGAATATATAACATTAATTCCTTATAAATACTACTAATGTTTTAAATTAAAATTTATTAATGTATAATTATAATAAAATCAAGAATGTAATCTGTTATTGTATATTTTGGACAAAATGCTCAGAACAACATGTTACAATCAGCTGTTGGCGCAATCTTTAGGTAAAAGATTTAAATAACTTCATTTATATTACTTTAATATAAATGATTTTTTTACATTACTGTATAGGACCCAAAATCCGGCACTCACGGGACTGGCGAAATTCTGTATTTCGGAATTTGCAGAATTTCAGATCTCTTCCGGAAATTTCAGAAAAAACAATAAATTTACCTAAGTTTCAATTGTAGATTATGATGGGGTGAGTTTAAAACTATCCCATCTTTAGAAATTTCATTAATTAAAATAATAATCGTTTCTTCTTCAGCACGAGATCATTGTTCTCGTTTTTTCTTTTACATGACATTTTGTTTAACAAAAGACGCTCGCCTTGCGAGAAAAAAAAGAGGCTAACAAGGAACTGCTAAAAAAGTAACAATTAATGCTGAGAAACTAACAATGAATAACTACAAAAAAGAAGCAAACAACTAATAACGATAAGAAGAAAAAAAAATTTCAAGTAACGAAAGAAAGTAACAGTTAATAAGTAATAAAAAGATAAATAAATCGAATTTAAAAAAAAGCAGCAAAAGGGATAGAATTCATTTTGTACACCAAGTGAGAAAGAAGTTTCAATGTCAAAAGGGTGTGGCTAATTTATGGTCAAACAGGAGAGGGAAATGTGGGGACAAACCAGTAAAGCACTTGCACAGCTGTGAAGATTGATTGATCAGTTTCTCCCAACTTGCATTTCTTTATTTTGTTCATTGAAATGCAGATGTTTTACTTTTCAATTTCAACTGCTTTAGGAATAGATGTTTTGTTTGACACAGATTTATTATTTTTTCTCTTCATGATTTTATTTTTAAAGGATAAAATATAGTTACTTACTTCAAGAGAAGAAAATTCCAAATAAAAAGAAAATATGACATTTTTTTTTCTTATCAATAAAAATTTCTTTAAAAAGAAAAAAAAAAAAAGTATTGGTCGGATTAAGTGCCGAATTTCGGGTCCTGTCGGATTAGGGGTCCCATACTGTACTACATATTTACATTTTATGTATTTTTTATTTTATTTTATTTATTTATTTTTTGTAAAATTACCTCTTTTATTTAACTAAGAAGATATCAGTTTATAAGTCGCACCCATAACAACGATGTAGCAGCAAAAATTAAATGTATTAAATTAATGCTTTATAAATATTACTAAAATTTAAAATTAAAATATAAATTAAAGTATAAAATTTGTAGTCTAACAAAAGCAAGAATCTGTTATTAAACACTTTGGACAAACTGCTCAAAATAATATTTTTGCAATCGGTAATCGCTGGTGGCGCCATCTCTAGGTTAAGAATTATATAACTGACTCACATTGCAACATATTTACATTTTACAACTTAAGTGGGTCGCATCCACTTTGCACGCTTTTTAAAGTGGGTCGCATCCACTTAAGATTTAGGTTCACTTAAACCTTTTAAATTCGCTGCATTCAGAATCCGAATTAAACAATTGAAGCAATTCTTCATCCAATTCAGCAGCATCATTATTTTCATCTGTCGGATCACATTTTTCTTTTATAGAAACACTCGGGATTATTTCCGCCTGCAAAAAACCTAATTTTATAGTGTCCGAAGAAATTGCTTTCCAAGCTTCTGAAACCCATCGAGCTACTTCTCCATATGAAGCTCTTTTCAAATTTCCGTTTTTTGTGTACGAGTGATTTTCGCCAGCCATCCATGCCTCCCAAAGTTTTCTCATGTGGCTTTTGAAAATTCTATTTACTGTTAAATCCAGCGGCTGGAGTATTTTTGTTAGCCCAACTGGGATAACAGCTAAAGAAGCTGAAGCTCTTTCTGCTTCCTTTTTCACCGAGTCCAGCAAATGTGCCCACATCGAATCCATCACAAGAATGCCACTTGGCTGAAAAAATGACCCTTTTCTTTTACGCAAGACTTCATTAATCCAGTCACGCATTATTTTCTCGCACATCCAGCCCTTCTCGTTGCATTTTATGACGCCGTCACTTGGGAAAATTTCCTTTGGCAACATTTTCCGCTTAAAAATCAGCATCGGTTTTAATTTTTCGCCTTTAGCTGCACAGGCAAGCACACAAGTGAAGGATGTTTTTTCGTGACCAGATGTAGCAATTGAAACGGTTTTATCACTGGTTTTATTTACCGTTTGGTTGAGTGGGCAATCAAACGTCAACGGAACTTCGTCCATATTGACGATTTGGCATTCTTTAATTCTTTTCTGAGCTCTTAAATCCTTCATATAATTCAAAAATTATTCTTTTTTTTTCTTTCATGTCATCTGGAAGACTTTGGCCGATCGTTGTTTTACTTCGCACAAATAATTTCTTTCTTGTCATGAATCAATGGCACCAATTTGGATTGCCGTTAAAATTGGAAATTCCCATGTTTGCAGTTATCTTTTTGGCTTGTAGACGAATTTTAAAGGTGGATACAGGGGAGTCTTTTCTGGCGCTGTTCAAAAATCCAGTTTTCTAAAACACCTTCTAGCTCAGGCCAAGTTCCACTTCTTCTTGCCCTTTTCATTTTCGGCATGTTTTCTAGGCTTTCTTTTTCCGACCGCCATCGGCGAATGCGTCTCTCATCTACTTCAAATTCTCGCGCTGCTGCACCATTTCCTATACTCTCAGCTCGTTCAATAACTTGCAGTTTGAAAGCAGCTGTATAACTCATATGTCTTTTAGGAGGCATATTGTAATATGAAAAAATATTAGCAAAAACTAAAAAGAAAATTTTCCGCAATTTAATTTCTCTACATTATGCAAAGCACGTTGTAACAAAGTGAGAAAAAATGTGAAAGAGCTATCAACCATGCGGTTTGACCGGAACTAGATCGACCCACTTTCTTTAAGGGATGGTGGGTTCGCAATCTTTTGCCATAATTCGCAACTATTTTTATTAAAATTTTTATTTTCTCTTTGAAAAATGTAAAATTTATTTTTAAAATATCATAAGCGCCGCAATTAAAATTTTTAAACTCGGAAATGCTGCGACGTTTCTTCCATAAATTACAGTATTATAAAAATAATTTCGAAATTTTTATTATATAAAATATGCAACTAAATATTTAAGATGCTGTAAAGATGTTTGAAACATTCTTTATCACTTTTTTTTTAAGGAGAAGGAGTAATAATGTACTCTGATATTTTCTTAGTGTTACTTAAATTGGTAGTGCTTAAAAAGGCTGCAGTGACCTTTTAAAGATGCCATTAACTCCTTGACTTATGAAAAATTTGAATTTGAATTTTGCTTTTTAATAAGCATTCTTATTGGAATTTCTCAACGTGACTTGGGCAAGCTGCCATTAGTTGAAAAATTTGAGAATGCTCTTGTTGGCATTCCCCTTTTCCCCAGCTTCAAAATTTTTAAGCATGGGGAGAAAATGAGTTTCTATATATATATTAAATCATCTTATTTTTCAAAATTTTGCAACAATACATAAAGAAACATTTGACTAAACAAATTATTATATATTGAACAATTTAAATTATATTTTAATATTCATTGTACTGTTTCATTTTATTTTATTCTTGTGATTAATTTAGCTTTGTAAAGTTATTTCTTCATTAAAAATCTAACTTCTGTTGAAAATTTTGTTACAATGTATTTTGAATAATTTGATTTTTCTTGTATTTTGAACTGTATATTATGTAATATTCATATAGTTAATGTTTCTGCTCAAATGGAGCTTTTTAGGTTGAATTCTTAAGAACAGTGATACCTTTTTCTCATTGAAATTATAAATTTCATAATCCTGTACCAACTGGTATTTCCAGAACAGTAATAACTATTTTTTTATGAAAGAAAAAGTCATTTTTACTTTATTTCTTATTGTAAGCTTTTGTTTAAAAGAATATTAGTTCATAATTAAATGTTGTTAAGTAAACTAAGCTTATAAATTAATTCTTAAAAGTTTTAGTTGTCATAATAATAAACATTATCTCTTTTAATAGTTTTATGTGTTTCCTACAAAAAATTTTCTTTTACAGTATAAAGATACAGAACACAAACATACAAATTATTAGGAACGTGAAATTTTTATTGTTATTAATACTTTCCAACTCATAATTTTCAAATAATTTTTTTTATTCCGTATAATTCCTTTTTTAATTCATCTTAAGATGCGTTTAAAGTTAATTTTGGTATTACTCAAATAAACTGAGTCTGATTAAAATGCCTGTGTTAAATATCATAATATTTTCACAAAAAGTATCTATTTTTAAATTATACATGATTATTGCTTTGCTAGCTTTAATACAAATGAATGATTGATCTACAAATCTATGATTGTACTAATTTTGATATTATTTTACATTCTTTACAAATTTATTAAAATTTATATCAAATACAGATTAAATATTTTTCAGAAATTTTTTTTGTTCTACTTAAAAAGCTTTTAAATTAAAAAAATTTATTGGAAAAGTACTTTTCAGAGATATAAAATTATCTAATTGTTTTATGTTGGGTAAAGTAACTTAATTTTATTATAAATAATGAGTTTGATTTCTATATTCATTAAGTTTTTTTTTTTAAATTGTTTGATATCAATTACTTCTAGTTTGCAAAACTAAATTTTTGAAAATTTACACAATCATATCAGTGTTAAAGGAATCAAGTTTTATTTATTTCCAGTCTTGTTTGTAAAGATAAACAAATTGCTGAGCAACAAATTCTAATTCTAATGTTTTTAAAAGATTATTTTACAATACTTTTAAATGGTATTTCTACAAAATCAAGTCTCCAACTAAGATCATCAAAGTCATGTCAAGTGAGATAAACATTAAATTTAATTGCTGCTTGTTATAACAAGAGCAAAAAGAAAGTATTAAAACATCTTGCATCGGATAATTACTGTCCCAATCCCCATTTGCAAATTATGCAAACAGATGAGAAAATGGATACCCTGCACTCAATGTTGGATATCTTAGGTCGAAATATTACGACAGTAGACGCAATAGATTCTATGGACTACACTGAACTGACTTTTTTCATTGTTATTTTGTTATTCCTTTCTGTTTTTTTCCTTGTTTTGTCCAATGTTTTTTTTTTATGTTTTTGAGTTATAAGAAGAATATGTGTTATAGTTTCTTTGTTTGTTTTTAAAATAATTTTAGTATTCAAACACATGTTAAAATCTTTCACTTATAATCTTCCTACAATTTAAAGTTCAACATTTTAATTTTTGCTACTTTAAATAATAATAGTTTTCTTTGTTTATATTTTTAAAAGCTTATTTTTCTTGCAATCTGCTTTATTAAGTTTAACTCTGCTCTTTGTAGTCTTACTTTTATTAAGAAGACAACTCAAAAGCTGTAGTTCTAAATATTATGTAATTTTTTATTCTGTTCTTCTCTTTTTTAAAGTCTGAGATACTTTCATTCAAATTTTTTCTTGAATTATTTTCTTTAAACTTTTTATATGAACTACATAATTATTATTATTTTTTTTTCCTTATTCCTTTTTTGTTCAAAAACTGTCGATACAATGGTAAGCTGCAAGCAATTGATCATCTAATCAAACAAAATAATTAAAAATATTTTCTATATCCAAAAATTAACCTTGTTTTTATATTTATATATATGTGCAAAACAGTAACATGGCACAGAAGCAGTTCTGATCTAGGTGGCATAACCAGAACATCAAGTATAGCTCAGAATTGATGTCTATAAAATATACTAGCAACTTTGTTAAACTAGATCGAATCCTTGTTGGTTTTGTTTTCGTAGCATGTTTTTACTCATTTATATTTTCTTAATTTTTCAATTTCTTTCGTTTTCTTTTTTATAATTTTGAAAGTAAGGCGAATGTTATGCTTTCATCATGCATCAGAATTAAGCTGAGTTTTGAGTTTTTAATTTTTTTTTGCCTCAGTTATTTGTATTTTATACGTTTTGTTTATTATTTTAGCCTAAGAAAATAGATCTTAAACAATATGGACATTTAACTGATGCTATCGGAAGAATAAATTTAACCTCCCATAAATCAGGAGCTACCTTGCCTAAAGTTGGCCTAATGCATGCTCCCTTGGCCACCCCTGAAAGCATGGATCTAGGCAATGAATATGCTCAAGTAAAGGTACACTGTTCTTAGGATTCCTTCCAGTTTTCCGTTAGTTTTCAATTTTTATTTTTTGTTAATACGACGTGCATGTTTCGTGTAATTTAGGATGCTGTGCACTTGTTTTCTACTGACCGCAATGAATATGAATATGCAGTTGTACACAATGCCTTACCTGACAGTAAACCTCATAGAATCAGGTCTTTAACTAGAAGACATGGGAATCGTGATACTTTTGATCGAGGTAAGTCCCTATGTAAGTAAGCGCTTCAATTAGTTTTCATTATTTATATTATCATTTGACTATTTACTTTCCTCCTTTCTGACATCCAGATCTATTTTTTTTAAGTGTGTTAAATCAAGTTGATAAAATTACTTGAATTATTTTGGTACCAAATTCAAAGTGTGAATTACATAAGTTTGTGTTATATTCAACCATTATGTCACTATTGGTTGGCATTCAGAATGCATTACTTCTTTTTCCCATCTTGCATTTAAAAATGTGAGTATAATTTTTCCTGATCTGTTTCTGGTATACTATTTTCAAAAGGGGTTTAGTTTATTTTGTTTGAAATTATTGGTTAAATTCAACATATATAGCAGTTTAGAAATAAAAACGTTTTTGAAAAACGTTTTGTACTGCTCTTTATTAATATGTATTTAAATATGCTAAATTTAAACTCTTAAAAATATACTTATGATTTAATTTTTTTTTCCTTCACTTTATTTACATATTTCTAACAGATCTTGTATGTAATCTAATTTAATTTCCCACAGTATATGAATTAAGATTAAAATAGTTGGCATTAAGATAAGTTTGTCTTTAAATATTTGCTTAGTTTCTTTGTAAAACATCTTAACTAATTTGAGAACAATGTTCTTACATATAATGATATCTCTTTAAAATCCACACTAAGAACAAAAGCTATTTTTAAATTATTAACCTTAATTTATTATGTTGGTTGCATAAGTACTAAAATTATGATAAGTCTTTTTCAAATTACACATCATTCAAAGACCAGCTTTTGCTTTTTTTGTGCCATAAGCTGTTATCAAAAATGTATTTTTTGTGCCTATATTTCTCCTGCTACTTCTATTGTATGCTTATTTCAAAATATTCATAATCATATTGTAAGCAAAATTAAATAATCTGTAGTCATTTGTTTTTATCTGGAATTTATTTTTAGAAAAAAACTATTGATTTAGAAAAAGTTATTAAAATAGTCAACATCTGTAATGTGCTCTAAAAAAGCTTTTGTTCTTTCTTGCTTTGGTGTTTAGATGCACATAATTTTAAAAGCTGATGCTTATATTCCTTACTGTTAGGCTCTGATTCTGAAAGTGAATGGAGTTCATTGGAACGCAGGCAAAGGGAGGTTTACTCTAAAGCAAATCGCAAACCTACCCCTCACAAGAAAACCCGTAAAAAGCGTGGCATACCTGTTGCTCCTCCTCGGATCCCTTCATTCGAAGGGCCACCACCTCCACTCCCACCATTTCCTGGGGGTCAGAGGATTGTAACTGCTCAATCTCTTGATCCACTTGACAAAGGTATTTTCATGTCCCCAACCCCACAATTTTAATAGACTGCAGCATGATATTTTTTGAAAATATTTGCACATTGCATGTCACAGAAGTGCAGTTACTCAATCATACATATTAGCTTCTTTTTTTTAAAAATTAGTTATCTGCTATTTTCTTCTCTCTCTCTCAAATAATTTTTCAGCACTCTTTTTACTAGTTGTAAATATTAACGAAAGATAATTGCATACTCTAACATTTTTTTTATCTCTCTATATATATGTATATATTTTTATTCTCACTGTGCATGAAATTCAATATTGTTTTCCTGTGCCCTTTTGTTTTTGTTGACTGTTAAAAACTGTTTATTTGTTTTGTTTTTAACTTTATTTTATTAATTAGGAAAAATTCTTTAAATTGCACAATTAAGTTTATTTGTTTTTTACTTACATACAGGTGGGTTGAAAGATTTATTCTGTTGTGAAATACATTTTGTTTTGTAATACTGTTCTAGTACTGTTTATTTCATTCTTTCAATCAAATCTTTTCTTGTGTCAGAATAAGTATTATATTTTAAATTTATAAGTTCCCTAAAGTGTTACTATAGTTAATATATAATAAATACATATGTGTGTTTTAAGTACATAGTAATCGATAGTTTGACAGATTAAATGTGCAAAAAGTATTGTGCATTAGAAAAATTTACTTTGATCAAACAGTTTCCTTAAGTTTCATTGTTTGCTATGTAATCTTTTGGTTTGATGGAGTATTATTAAGAACTCTAAATACTTTCTTCTTTGACATTAATATATTTTCATGAGCATCTTATTTTTCAACTAATTAATAGAAAGGAAAGCTTGGTTGCATCATCTAACTTCAATATAATTGTGATATTGTTCCTTGAAATTTTATTTTATTTTCGAAGTTGAATTCGGAGCTATTGCAGTACTAAAAATAAATGGTTTTGAAATGCTGTTGCACTTACCTGCTAACCGATACATACTGTTTCAAGTTTTTAGCTTTTTAAGCTCAGTTCTTCGGAAAATATATTTGGCTGAAAGAATTGAATAGGTAATGAATTTAGTTGACTGCTCTGAGATGAGAGTTTGGTATGATTTCAGTTCGTGGAAGTGGAAACAATTCACCTTCTGAAGACAGTGATCTATCTGAAGAAGATGATCCTAGATATAAATCCTCTCATCGCCAGAAATACAAACACAAGCGTTCCTTTCGCTTGCGGCGCAGGAAATTACAAGCTCAACAGCAGCCACAACAAACGGAAAAGTCCCAACCTCCTCCTATAGGAGATTCTCTTCAGTTTTGTGCTCTTACTTCTGATAGTGATCTCTTCTCTCCTTCATGTAAGTTCTCTATTTCTCTTTCTACCTCTTGTACGTGCTTCCCTTCCTTTTGGCTTGCATTTGAAAAGAGAAATAGATTCCCAACCCTCCACTGCAGTATTTCAAAGCAAAGAAGTAGCATGAATATAGTGATCTTAGACTTGCATGCTTTTAATAAATTAATGGATAGCTATGATTTCAGCCTAAAGCTCTCCATACTAATAAATTTAATAAATACTTATTACACCTAATAGTTTTCAGAGATGATACAACCAAATTCCTGTCAATTTTTACAAAAAGCTTTCATTGAACTAATTACTCATTAAAAATTCGACCATGAAACTTTTATTTCACATTATTGGGGTAATATTATACAACTTCTAAGTTTTATAAATGATAAAATTTTATTATGCTGCACTATTCTAAGAACTTTATTTATAAAGAATGTATAAGCTTCTTTCATCCTATGTAGTTAGTGCTTGATTAGTTCATGCTTTTTATATCTTGTTAGCTTCATATATGTGTGTATAATCTTGTTTCCTGGTGTCCCTTTCCAATTATTCAAGCACACAAACGTTATTCTTCTAATGCTTTGGATTTTCATCTGTAATTTTTGGTGATTTCCAGGTACAAAAAAAAATTTCAAAATAACCTCTCTTTTTTTTTTTTTTTTTTTTTTTTTTTTTTTTTCAAATATAGTATACAATTGGTGAAAATATGAACTAATAAATTAATAACATACAAACAATATCTACTCCAAAATAAACTAATACCTAAAATGTTATTGTTTGTGTTTCAATTAAACATTTGTTTGATTTAGTGTCTTTTTTTTGTATATGTTATATCTAAGATTTTTGCACTATATTAAAAGAAGGAAGTACATAAAAATCAAAATATTTTTTGCTATGCTTCTTTTGCAATTATTACTTGTGCTATTATTCTTGTTTGTGCAATTATTACTAAAATCAGGCAGATGTTGTAGTTTTTTTCCTGTTGAATCTGCTAACTTTTTTAAAAAGAGCCTACTCTTTTCCCTCCTTTTAAATCTTAAAGGCAAAGTTGATTATTTCTGAGTATATATAATGAAACTGTTATTGGGCCACAATTTATCATTTTAACAAATCCTTTTTCCTGTTCATGCATGATATTACTAAGTAGGTAGCAAACTTTTTATATTTTTCAATTTGGCTCATCCAGAAAGGTAAATGGATATTTATGAATTATGTAATGTTGAAAATAAAATATAAAGGCAATGGCAGTTTGCTTCCACCTGTTTGCAATAAATTGATTTCTCCATAGTGTTGTGGTTTAATGAATAGCTTATAGCGTGAGGAGATTACTACTAAGGTTATGATAAAACCTTCATTCACTCAATTGAGTTCGTATATAATAAAATAATTTAATTAAAGGGAAAAGGTACAAAAAAGATTATGAATCGCAAATCAGGAGTAGAAATAATTTACCTTTTACTCTGCAGTTATTATGTGTTCCTGCCTATGCAAGGTCATTTGCATTGTGCCTTCTAAAAATGTATTAAACTGCTTATATTTACAATTAAATAAATTACCTGATCTTTATTACAATTAAAATGTATTTATAAGATCAACTCAATAAATTTTCATCAATGTCCCTTAAGCTATGTCAAGTTCACATTGTTATCCTCTCTAAAAATGTCCTCTTTTTTGTTTTCTGTTAAGCTATTGTGTTCCTAAATTTAGAAATTAGTTACCTTATTTCTTCCAATTTTTTATTTCCCCCCCTGATTTTTGTATGTATTAAAAAAATTCCCTCTTTCAGTTTCAGAGTCACGTGTATGAAAAGGTCATTTTCACCCCAAATTTTTTCCTGAGAGTGTGCTTTTTATCCAGCTCTTTAAAATGTCGATAAGAAAAGTTTTTCCATAAAAGTTAAGAATTATAAAACTCTTAGATAAAGGTGGAAAAAACTTTAAAGTATGTTAAGTAAGATATCTATGCAAAAGGAAGCAATTAACGATAATGTTAAGTTGATTTTATGTTTAATTTTTCATGTAATATCCTTGAATTCAGATATAGCATATCGACTGAGTTTTAACAAACATTCCTCCCCCACATCTCTGGTTATACTTAGGTTACTACTGTTAAGTGTCCTTATCAGATTCCTAACATTAAATTGAGTGAAACAGAAACTGAATCAAAAGGACTAATAGCTTAAAAGTTATGAAGGTTTCATCTATAAAAGTACAATTTTTGTACACATTAATGTCTGATATTGCTATCTGTTGAGACATAAACCATTATTTATGTATTTCTTTGTGTTAAAGTTAATAAAATCAAAAGTAAGTAATTGATAATGGTTTTATGTGTGAAAAGATATAGAAATAAATTTATGCTTTTAATGTTTTAAACTCTCAACTGTTGGTCCAGTTAAATTGGTATAGCATAAAAAAAAGTTTGGTTCTACATAAAATTAAAAGATTCTATACTTCTTATCTATATAGTCAGAAGTGTAAATAATATAAGTGCAAAACAGTACTTTCTATTTATAAAAAGTGTAATAAGTTTGAACTATCAATCTTATTGACTTTGTTTCAATCTCATTAGATTTAGCATTAACAAAAAATACATAGCAGATAATACCTCATTTATCTAGGATAGGAGTATCAGAAGCGTAAATAGGTATAACCCAGACATTATAATTTTTTTGTTTATCATATTTATTAAATGTCTTTTAAGCTATTTAAATTTTTAAGCTATATAACTTTTAAGCTATTAGTACTATTTACTTGATTTTGGTTTCATTTAATTCAACAAATAAAGCTATATAGAATACAATACCTCTCTTGTCTATGAAGTATAGTTTAATTTTTTTCGCTTTTGACCTCCCACCCAGGTAATCCGGGATGGAAACTAAAGCTCACTTTGAGGTGAAAATTTCAAGTATCCATATTGGGCCATTGCCACAACTTTTAACAGGGATGAGTTTTTATGCTTTTTGGCGGAATTCTGCTTTTTAAACTGCTTTTCTACCTAGGACTAATTCAGAACTTTCTAGAACTTAATTCAGAATCACGTATCACAATACATATTCACTTGAGTTTAAAATTACACATCACAATTCGTATTCATGCAATTTATAATCACATCGCAATATATTTAAAAATCTCACACTTGGATTCATATTGTATGATTCAAAAATCACTTGCCAAGATTTGTCAATTGCCACTTGCCAAGATTTGTCAAGACAATTAATAAATAAAATCACACTTTGACATTTTTTTATTAAAACTTTAATATTCTATGGATATATGCTCCTTGCTTACACTTTTTTTGTTGCTCATTTTTTAGGAATATTTTCAGTTATTTACAATGTATTTTGCCTATAACATTTTTGAATTTCAATTTTTAGCTTTTTTGGTTTGCTACTAAACTTTTTCCTGTTTCAAACAATGTCCATCTTTACCATGATTGTTACTGTTTAACTACTGAGGAACCAGCTTATTAACTCTGTACTTACTGCAACATATTTTTTAGTTTTGAAACAAAAAGTTTAAAATTTTCTCTTATGTTCTATTGATTAATTCTTTGAATGTTATTTCTAATCCTCTGTATTCTATGAGTGAGATATAAATGTCATTGCCTCATGGGAAGTTAAAGACAAAATGGAGTAGGAGAGACAGGAAGAGAAGGAAGTAGGTGAATGAATAGTGGGGAAACGATGGGGGCTTTGCTTTCCAAGCATTATTCAAGGGAATGTGGAAAAACTGGTATATTACGAGAGTTTAGAGTTGTGCTCTCTTTTTCAGCGAGACAGAGATGGCTTGTTTCCTTCCTGTTTAACAACTTAGAAGACCCCCCCCCCCCAAAAAAAAAAAAATTGGNAAAAAAAATGCATATTGTAACCAAATATTGAAACATTGTAGATTGTTGGACTAACGATACTTAATTAAGTTTTGGGATTCAGAGCGGTGATCCAAAAAATGTTTTTGCTTTTGAAGTGCTGCATTTCTTCATTTTTACTCCTAAACTATTATTCTGCCTCTGCAAGAAATAACTATCTTTCTTCTTATATCCCTGGTAAACAGTCTCTCATGTTCTATGTTTCGAGGTGTATCACACCCAAGAAAAACTTTCCATAATAATGATGTTAGTGAAAATAATACTGTCTTTATTTCTAAGATCAATATAAATAAGTTGTCATATTTACTAAAAATGATTTTTTTTTCTTCATATTTATGTATATATTCTAACAAAGTAAAACTGATCTTTTTTTTTTTATTTTTTCTGTTTTGTTACAAAATTTCTATAACATTTTTTGAGACAAAATGTTTAAATATTATAACTCATTTGAAAATAAAAATATCACAGGAATTTTTTCACTCGTAAATCTGCCCGCTGAAATAGTGGGTGCCGTATTATATATTTTTTGAAAACGTAAAAGCTATTAAAATTCATGTATTATTTTAAAACAACTGATGAAGATGTGAATTGTAACATATGTAGATAAAGAAAATGTAATAAAAAAATCGCCCCGTATTTCAGGACCGGAAAGTTTAAAAACTGAGCCATATGTGGAGGGTTAATATTTATATGTAGTTTCAACAGTTAGTTTCGTTATTAATTTTATAATTAATTTCCGATTTAAAATTAACTAAACTGGTGGGTCTATAAAATAAATAATACAGATATTTTTATTGAGTTTGATTAATCTTTTATTTTTTGAGAAAAAAAAATTGTGCTTTGCTAAAAAGAAAGTTGAGATATATTTATTGAAATATCGAAAAAGGAATACGTTAAAACTCAAGTTAAGTGATCTTCCTTCCCGTTACCCTGTGAGTTGCCTAGCCATATTTTCAATTTTTTTTTACCTTATTCAGGAAATTAATTATTTCTAGAAAGTATTTCCTATCGCGTATTATAGTAAAACATTAGTAAATGGTCTTACATTCTCCCTGTCTGACACATATTTGGATATTTTATATTTTAATTTCATTCTCTGATTGGTCAAATGTAATTAAAGCTAGCTGATTTTAATGCAATTAAAATTTCAGTGTCTGATTTCAAAATGCCATGTTATGTCAAAGTGTCTGTTGAGAATTCTGCAATCCGATAAAACCCACTTTCCGTTCAGAGTAACTTAATAGCAAAATCAGTTCTGTATCCCTGGTAATAAGCCCCATGGTTTTATTAAATATTTCTAAGGGTAAATGCATATCGGTATTTATCATACAGTAATACTTTAAACTATATAATGAAGGCAAAATGTAATTGATTTACTTCATCATTTAGACCAAATTTATGTGCAAGACAAGACATAAATTATCCTTTCTATTAATACTATCACAAAATATGTTTTTGATGTTTGCTTAAGTTGTAAAATAAATTGCTATATTAAGCATGTGTTATGTAACTCATTTTATTTATAACTAGATTTTGTTTATTTTTTCCTTATTTGTAATTTGTCTGAGTATTTTGAGTTAAAATATAAAGTAATGCTTGATGTGCAAAAACGTTTGTTTTTTTTTAATATTAGCTGTGTTTTTTCGCTTGTATGTAGTTCTTATTTTCAATTGAATAACTGAGAAAATAAGTTTATATTTTTGTGTTAAATTATATGTACACAATATGTTAAAATTGTTTTCTTTTGTTTTGCATTTTCCTGTTTCTCAAATTTATCTCTATTTGATATTTTTAGCAAAATTGAAAATTGAGCAGTCAATTCCTTCTGTTCCTCCACAAGAAGATGACTCCAGTTATGAGATAGCATCCCCTAGAGATGGTTCCACTAATGCTCGAGTTAGTATTAATTATTATTATTTCTTTAAATTTGGTATGTAATTGATACTTCTGATTATTCAGTTTGTAGACTATTTGTGTTTTGAAGTGCTGCTACTACCCACTTGCTACAGTGTTCTTTTACTCACAATTTATTACTATTTTTATACTTATTTTTTCTTGGCTTCATTGCTGTATCAAAATTGTATAGTTTTTTTCTCCCTGAGTCTTAGTCTATAAACAGACTACACTTTACAGCAGCTTGGCAGCAAATGGTTGATAAATATCAAAGCATATTTATTTCCCACTGACTTTGACTCTTAAACTGAGGATTGAAAAATTTCTTATTTTTATAACCATTAGACATTTAGAATATTTTCTCCACTAACATAAATGAGAGAAACAACGAATATATATGTACGTACATAGGTATATTTTATCGACTTACGAATTTGTTTTCCATGAACTTTTTTTCTTTCTAATCCTCTTTTTCCCATGATATATGTAATAATATTTTTTCTGTTGATTTTTATCACATTAAATGAAACACAGGAAAAGTTTTTTTCACAAAACATATATCTATAGTGTTTATTGTCACTTTCTCAGAAGTACTGAAAATTCTCAAAACTTAACAATTCCCCAAAACAGAGGTTTTTTTTTTTTTTTTAAATTTTCTCCAAATTTTAGTTTTTTTTTTCCTTCAAAAATTACAATAACTTATGTTCATAATATTTTCAGAAAGTAAAGTTTGCTAATTATTAAAAATTTTTGGGAATTTTTTTGGTGAAAAAAAATTTGTTTATACACAATTTTTGAATAAACTAGCATATATGTTAAAAATAACAGAATGCAAAATATATTGAAACAGTAATAAATCATTAAACTAAATTTATTGTTCCACTCATAAACTTAAGACACTCAAATAAAAAAATAAACGAATTTAACTAATAAAATTATTTGTGTTATATTTAACATAACTGAAAATATTCTTTTTACAGAGTAAGTTGTTATAAATCAAGGCTACAAGTGCAAACGCATAGAAAATCTAGATTATGTAATCCAATGGCTTCTGTTGCTTCATATCCTATATTTCTGAATGAAAAAAATTCTACATTTTTTCTCTTGCTACTAGGGCTACTTTTGCTGACTTATTTTATCTGTTCTTCAGTTGTAATCATGAAATAAAGTGCTCTGTTTCCTGTCAATAATTAACTTCAATTTTTCTTTTCACTTTTTTTAATAATTACAATAAACAGTCAGTAATATATTGCACTTTACATTGTTTGATTAGTAAAATAGAAATATTCAATTAAACATTCTATTTTTGCATCATATTGTCTTGTCAATATTTCCATTTTAGTACCTGACAATGTATAAAAACAACAACAATTTGTTATTGTGAAAATTTGTTTATTACTGGCCTAATTACCATGTATTGGTTGAATCATTTACTTTTTTGCTCTAAAAATTGTAATTTAGCATTTAGAAAACTTACCCCTTCTTTAACACCTTTCCACTATAAAAGGGGTAAAACTTCTTTTACCCCTTTTATTGTGGAAAGGTTTCTGGCTAAAAAATTTTTGAGTTTGTCTTCATTAACTTAAAAGTTGAAAGCAGTTTTGAGTTACAATTATCTGCTGAAACTGCTGCTCATATGTTGTTTAAAATGAGAAAAGCATGTACATGCTGCTCTAATGTAAAATTAGGCTTCAAAGTGCTTAAGGAAATCAATTTTTCTTGAATGAAATGTGTCTTTTCATTTTTTACTTTGAATCACGAAATTTCTCTGTGTAAAAATTATAACATTCTTTCACTTGTCTTTCGCAAAGTAAGTCTAATTTTTAATTGCATTCTTCCAACAACAAACGAGTTTGCCCATGTTATTACACAGGGCATTGATGTGTCTAATATTCTCAGTTCAATAACTCCCAAAAGATTAAATTTGTTTTTAAAATCCATTCTCTCCCTAAAAGTAAGAACTAAAATGAAGAGTCAGTGTCTTGATAGTTTTTAGAAACATGGATGGTATTTCTACATCTACTATTTTCTTCTTTATCTAATTTTTTTCTAAACTTATGTTATGATAACTATCAGGCTTTTATAAATGTTTTTAGCTAGCATAAATATGCCTTTATTTTTGGGATAAAAGGCTACTTTTATTTATTTTAGAATTGAAAGCTCTAATAACTTATTTTTCTGTTTCAGGGGAAATCAGAAAACGATAAAGCAGGAAAAAAGAAAGAAGAAAGGAAGAAAAATAGAGAAGATGAAAAACAGGAGAAACGTAGAATAAAGGAAGAAGTAAGATTTATCTGTGATATAAAACTTTACTTAAAATGTTATGCTAATTTTTACCTAATTGGCAAAATATTTGCAGTATTTTTTTCTGATTTTTAACATAGCAGTTTTAAATGTCTTAATATTAGGTATGTGATTTATAATTGGATTACATACAGTAGCGTACCTAGACTTAAGTGTGTCCCTCCTGCAAGATTTATGTGTGTTCAATGACTTACCTTCAAAACATTTAAAATTATAATGTCAGGGATGCTACGCCTGCGCCATTTGCGACAAACTGAAACAAAACGGCATAACTGCGCCATTTTGCGACACTCTACTCAGTTACTGCCAAAGCTGCGCCATTCTGAGACAAAACGTCCAAAATTTGACAAACCTGAATTCAGTTTCAAATATTAATCCGTATCGCCGTGAGTCATTGGAGAGCATTTTGCCGTTCACGCCTCCTAAATGCGTCATTTAAATGTCAGAAATTCCGTTTGGCAAATCAGCTATTGGAATGCATATAGAATATGCGTTTCGTGTCTACAATTGGATTATGTACAGCAGTGAGTAGCAATCAGTGTCATATGCACGTGATCTTGTAAGAAAAGAGGGTATTCTTCCATTAAACTATTGGTTATTATCTTGCTTTTTTTTCTTAGGAAACTCTACAGTGCACATAATTATTCAGGGATGAAAGACTTCCGCGAAAAAGCGGAAATATGCTTTTTTCTCCCAATTTTTAAAATTTCCGACCAAGTTCCAGAAACTAAAATTAGTCAGATTACGGCGACTTCCGCTATAGAGTGGAAAGGAGTCTAAGCGTTTCGTTTCGACAGCCGATATTTGATTATTTTTTTTTTTGTTTGGCTGATTTTCGGAATTTTAAATATTAAGAACTGCGCTGGAATGTGCTAAAATCGCGATTTTTAATCAGACGATTTGAATATCCATCATCGATTTTCGTATTTAATTGATTTAAAACTTACGTGTTGTGATTTTTTTTACGCTATTTAAAAATCATACTAGCAATTCCTATTCACTCAATTTAAAAATTCAATATCGCGATCTGTATTCTCGCGAGTTTAAAATCCAACGTCGCGATTCGTATTCACGCATTTTTAAATCCAATATTGCGATTCGTTATCACGCAGTTGTAATATCAGATCTCGTTTTTCGTATTTGTACGCTATTTAAAAATTACTCATTGCGATTCGTATTCACGTGATCTAAAAATTATTCATCGTGATTCTTATTTACGCGATTTAAAAATTCAATATCGCTATTTGTATTTTCGCGTTTTTAAAATCCAACAGCGCTATTCTTATTCACGTGATTTTAAAATTCAAAATCGTGATTCACATTCACGCGATTTTAAAATCCAACCGCACGATTCATATTCACGCGATTTTAAAATCCAATATCGTGATTTGCGTTTTTAAAATCCAGCAGCGCGATTCATATTCACGTGATTTTATAATCCGAAATCGTGATTAATATTCACGCGATTTTAAAATCCAAAATAGTGATACATATTCACGTGATTTTATAATCCAAAATCGTGATTCATATTCACGCGATTTTAAAATCCAATATCGTGATTTGTATTTTCGTGTTTTTAAAATCCAACAAAGCGATTCATATTCACATGATTTTATAATCCAAAATCGCGATTCATATTCACGCGATTTTAAAATCCAGTATCACGATTCTAGAAAGAAGTAGAATTAAGTTTTTTCTTGACATAGTTACTGTAAAGATGTGACATATTTTTCTACAGTTGTTGCATTTAAACAATTACTAAGTGCATTCATAATTACATTTTATGATTGTATATTTAGCTATATAAATTAAAAGAACATAGTCAACTAACTGATCTTGTGAATGCAAGAAAGTGCAATCTACTAGTCAATGCCAATTAACTAAAAAGTTTACTTTTATACTTAATAAAGGATGCAAGTCATTTTAGAAAGAAAAGTATATTTATATGTGTCTTTTTAAATTGTTTATAATAGTTTTTATATATTTCTGTTTTGATATAAAAATGTATATAAGCTAATTTTTGGCTATTAAGTGCTCCCTAAAATTTTTTTGAAAAATTCTTACCTAAAATATTTCAAAATTTCACTGCACCTCCTGAATTCTGTCAAAGAGTGGGGTTTTTTTTGTGTTATTTGCATTTTTTTTAACTCTCATTATTTAATTACTGAATTTCTCTTTTAATTATTGAAATCTGTAGACCTTCCATTGTAACTGAATAGTTATATATTTTGAGATGAAATTTGAGCTCAAAATAAAGTGGGTATTTTCCCTTTTGAATTACCAAAACTAAATAGATATTTCTTTTTAGAAAGGTTACACCATTATATTTTAAAAAATAAGAAAGTTAAAATTTACTTTGTAAAATTCTGGAACAGATACTATTCATTGGCATAAATGATAAATGCAATATATATGAAAACAACAGAGTCCATAAAACAATTTTGTGGACTCTTATAATCAATCATATGCAGGTTTTTTAAAATCCTAGCAATAGTGAATGTATGTATAATTGTAGTACTCCTAGTATGCTATTAATGGTTTTATGGATCCTGAAAATTATCTTTATATTGCTATCAAACTGATTAATAGTCATTTTAGCTGAGATAAACTGAGTCAAAATAATTTTAGCTTAGACAAACTGAGCCAAAAAGAGATTTTAACTGAGACGAAATGCAATTTCTGGTGCGACAATTTGATATTTTGCGAGCAGCACCCCTGTAATGTAAAACAAAACCACTGAGGTGGAGAGATATTTGGGTATGATCAGTAATTTTATTTTAATTTGAGATAATAAAAATTTTAATTGTGATGAAAAAGTAAAATTTAGAGAAAGAACTTAATTAAAACTCCCCTTGGCACCACAGAGGTTGTGGTGATGTTATTTAATGCCACTGACTAAGTAGCATGTATTGGAGTTTATTCCTGATTTCTAAGCCTTCTTATTTTAAAAATGCATTCATTCCCCATACTATTTTATGAAGATACTACTTTTGTATGGCTAAACTGAACACTTTCGGATCAACATTGTAAAATTTGTTTGAAGTTAATGTGTGTTAGGAAAATATCTATTTTATAATAATCTATACAATTTCTCAAGTATTATTTGTTTCAAAATCCTTAAGCATGGTCAAAATTGAAAAGGTGTAATATTCATGCAATGTCTTGTGATACCATAAGGAAAGATCAAACTGCATTTCACAAATCTAAGCTAATTAAATTATTTTGCATTTACATAATTGATATTGGAAGTGAATCAATTAAATACATCAACACTTGATAATGATTATTTAACGAATCAGCATTCAATCTAACTTAGTTTGTGCTAAATCTATACACTGCCTGTCACATAGGTAAAATTATTCAATTAAGTAAATGTCAATAATCTTTTGAAATTTTCTGTGTGTATAATTATATTTGCACATTAACATTTATAATTCAAACTTCTTTGGTTTTATGGAGCTCTGCAAAATCTTAATATCTCTTTTTAATACACTATGTTAGTCTTTAGCATTCAGCTGATGTTATCTACTTTTTAATTTTTAAACTTTATTTTGTAAAAGAGATATTTTGATTTCATTGTTGTATTTTTTTGTCATGATTTAGTTTATGTGGTTATTTCATAGTACTAATAATAATTTCAAAATATCGAGCTGACATAATACTTTTATTACTTGCAAAATTAAGTTTTGCAAAGTTATATATTGCACTACTAAAACTTATCACTCGTGGGCTGCAATAGTGGCACAACTAAAAAAACACACGTTTTAGTCTAAGAACAGGTGTAAATATGAAAATACATTCTTTCAGCAGCAATACTTGTACAACTCATAATTCAACTTGAATTTAATCTTCGTTTAAGCAAACGAAAAAGGAAAGCATTTCTTATGCATTTTGCTTAGCAGTTAAAACTTTAAGTTTTAATTTGATTTTTTGAGTTGTGCCGCTATTGCAGCCCACGAGCGTTATAATGAAATTTAAAAAGTCTCAACAATTGATATTGTATGTTAGGCTAGTGGAGTTGATTCAGCGAAACATAGGTTGTAAGTTAAAGTATTAATAAAAAAAACTACCTTATATTTCAAATATAAGCCTGTCCGTGTTGTATAAGTTAAGGAGTAAGCTTTTTATTTGAAATTTGCCAAAATTCAGAACTCGTATATAAGCAGACTGAAAAAAATAGGGCATGGGAATACAAATGTACCCCCTCTCTTCTCCACAAACATTTCAGCTGTACAGCTCAACCTATTTTTATTCCCTCTCTCTCCTCTTCCATGCTTTTCATTTACCATTAGGGATTGACATTAGCAGCAGTTAAACTTGGCGGAAAACCGAAGTAAAGCATTAAAAAGGACCAAAGAAAAGGCACTGTGTAATAAAAAACCAATTATGCTGTTTTAGGATTCATTCTTAGATTCATTCTTCTCAGCTCATAAAACTGATAGAGTGAAGGATAAAAGTTGTCTTTTTCTATTTTTTTATATTAAGGTCCATTTTCAATTATTATTTTATGTATTTCTATGTTTTGTAATATTTACTGATTATCACTAAAGCTGAACAAAAGAAGAAATTTTTCAAAGTTGGTGGATTTGATTATAATGCCAACTGCACCCCCACCCCATAAAGATTTCAAAAATTCTCTGCTCATATTCGAAAATGTATGGTGATTAAAGCAAAAATTTTAAGCTGCAGACAAGCCCATCCTTTATTTTCATTCTATAAATTTATTTATCATAGGAACGACAAAAACGTTTGACTGAAAAAAAGAAAAAGAAAGGTGCTCAGGGTAAGAGTGGAACTATAAACCAACAAGTTCAAGGTATTGAAGATTTTATGCAGTCTGAAGACAATCCTACGCCCTTATTTGTTGAAAAGTGCATTAAGTTCATTGAAGAAGAAGGTTTAGATTCTGAAGGAATTTATCGAGTTCCTGGAAACAGAGCACATGTAGATCTTTTATTTCAGAAGTTTGATGAAGGTATATATACATTTCTATCCCCATTCTTGTATAAATTTTTAAAAAAATATTGTCTGATATCTCTAATTTGCTATGTTTTTATTCAAAACTCTCTCTTTTCGAATAATAAAGAAAGGAAAAACACAAATCTATTTTTATTTTTGATATATCAGCATAAAAAGAACAAAAACTACTTAGAAAATTGCTAAAAACTTTTTAAATTTACAAGATATTCAAATCTGACTTTTTTTATATGTTACTAAAAACCATTCATTCACAGCAATCACACGAGAAAGAAAAAATTTGTTTTCCTTGTATGCATGCAGTATGAAAAGACTACTTGAATTTGAATGCTTATATCTTGCATAATTTTTAAATGTTTGTTAAAGAGGTTAATTGTTTTGTTAATTAAAAATTGCTCCAAAAATTTTGTTTAATTTTATTGAACATATTTTCAAATATATTAAGGAAACATAAGGGGGGAAAGGTTGTTTATTAAATTGTCCATAAATACATGAATATATAAGCTAGGTTTATGAAATTATATGTATTTTTTGCTTATTAATACCAAAGTAAAAGTATGGGAAATCGCATAACCTAAATACCTCTGAAGATATAAAATAAATCTTTCCCTATTTAAGCAATATTCTAAGTATTTCTTGAAAAATTACGGAAAACATCAAATACTGAAAGTGCCTCTTCAATTATTATAGGGTGGTGTAGAAAGGTAGCCATGGATCAAAACATAAGATGTTTGAAAAATAAGTAAATAAGAAACAATAATAAATGCCAATTTTTATAGAATAGCATTTATTTCTTGGTATTTGAGTGTTTGATGTATAAAAATAAGCGTCACAGTCTTCCTTTTTCATGAATGAAAAAAAGTTTTCTCTTCTCTTTCTTTCAATTGATGTGAAGAATTAGCATCACAGATATTAGAATAAATATTATCCGAATTCTGAATCCAAATTATAGTTTATCCAAAATTCTTGGGTTTTTATATTCTATCTTTAACCTATTTTTATAAATGCATTTGTTTCATCATCCTTTCAATTTCTTAGATCCTTCTGTTTCCATAAGAGAACTTGATATTCCTGTGAATGCAGTTGCCACTGCCCTGAAAGATTTTTTCTCCAAACGGCTGCCTCCTTTAATTCCACCATGCTTAATGAATGAATTGACTGAAATATCTGGTAACTAAAGAAAATTATTTATTTATGTTGCTATTTCTTTATTAATATTGCTATTGCTTAATCTACTATATTTTTATAGGTGCTTCATACTCTTCTTCTGGAATTCAGGATAAAAGTTGTCGACTTTTTACTTTAAGGGACCTTCTAAAAAAACTCCCATCCTGTAATTTTGAAGTTTTAAAATTTGTTTTTCAACACTTTGTGAAGTAAGTATACTTTAAAAAGTATGTATAAATGAATAGTTATGTATAAAATTCAGTAAGGATTTAGTAAATTCCATTGTCTGTGTATTATATATTTAATACTTCTGGTGGTAAAAGTGCATTTAAAGGTGTTTCACTAAATTTAAATATTTTTAAATACATTTAAAAAATCAATTAAAATTAAAAGTAAAATGTGCTTCTATTATGTTACTACCACTATAGTGATTAGTTACAGCATCAAAGTTTTTCCTTTATCAATAATTTGTTTTTAAAGATTAATGCATTAAAACAAACTCTAAGCTACAGTTACTTATTCTTTGGCACCATAACCTATAAAAAAATTTAGGGCCCCCTCACAACTCCAATTTATTTGACCCTTAGCTTTCATTTTATAATTAGTAAGATCTCCTTCAACTTAATCTAGCCATCATTTCTTTTACTTTTCAACACTTTTCCTTCCTGCTATTTTCTCCAAGACCTTTTCTCACCTCTCGTTTTCCCATATATATAATTCAGGTTAAACAGTCCCAACACAAATGCTATTCTTAAAATGTTACTAAAACCCATTGATATCGCTTTTGAAACTAACATATTCCCCTCGTCTATCATTCGTAAACTACCGACTTTAAAAAAATAGTACGTTGCTCTAAGAAAGAAAGAAAAAACAGTAACTTTTAATTTGAATCATGAACAAAAAAAAAAAAAATTNATTAATAGGAATCATGAAAAAAAAAAAAAAAAAAAATTAGGACAATTTGGTGAAAATGTAGAAACTTGAAGTCGGTTCATTTATAATTATATTTGTAATTTCATTTATAATTATATTTGTAATTTCATTTATAATTATATCAAATATAATTAACATTTATATTTGATTCATAATATTTTTCTAAAATATACCTACCATGCCAAATGGAGTGCATATATGTGTACTTATAAAGTACTTGCTATATTTATACAGGTACTTAAATAAATATAAGAAAAAAATGTTTTTTTTGTCATTTATTTTAATACAATAAAGCTTTAAGGATAACTATATGCAGTAAAACCTCACTACAACGATATTTTTGGGACCAAATAAATCTATTGTTGTGGAGGGAAATATTGTTATATCGAGGGCCTACATATTTTGGGGGCACAATATAACTTTTTTTTTTCAATTTTAATGTTATATATGTATTAACTATAAATGTATATATTAATTTACAGATAGGTTAATTATGTTTAAATATTAAAAACAATTGAAATAAAATAAGATCACAAACAAAACTGAAAATCGCTTTTATTGAAAATAATTCGATATTTTTGCTAGTTTATTCATTCTTCTGACTGTTAAGTCAACCAACAAAGTATGCATTTAGTTCAAAGTACGAAAATGATTTTCATTTGTGAATGGTGCTCCACCCTCCCCCTATGGAAAAAATTCTCTTTCAGGTGTTAATGTGATGCTTGTGGTAAATCTGAGTCATGATCAGTTATTAACATGAAGGAAATGAAATCATTGTAGGAATGTTACATTTGTGATTTCTTAAGAGATAAGGGAGCAATTCTAAGAATGGAAAGTCTTGGGGTGGTCAACAGTGAATCTTTTCTGGTCAGAAAAAAAGGGAAAAAGTTGATAAATGAGATTTTTTACATTTGAGAACCATTAATAAATGGAGAAAATACGGTACAAAATTTGGAAAAAAAATCTTTTTACAGAGGTTTATTGCTTAAGAGAATATCGTAATATTGAGAGAAGAATAACATTAATTCATATGAAAGTTCGTCGGGACCAAGAAACATTATTGTAATAGAGGGAGTTATTGTTATATCGGATATCGTAGTAGCGAGAGTTCACTGTATATATATATGGGTGATTCTCACGAAGCATGACAATTCCGACCAAAAAAATTTTTATACTTCTTTAGCTACGCTTATTAATATCTTATAGACAGCATTGTAGTTTATTGACATTTGCTCGGGAAAAAAAATGGAAATTCGCCAAATCTTGAATGCCAGGAAAATGACATATTACCTTAGAAGTTTAAAAAACAGTCGTTTTAAGTTAATAGTAGGTAACTCAACTTAAGCCTTTATGTTAGATGGACCATAAATTCTGTGATATATAATAATTAGGAA